CCCTGAGGCTCCGGTTTAGGGTTTAGGGTTTAAGGTTTAGGGAGCTTTTCGCACTAATTACTGTGCACGAGAGATCTACTATGTTTCAGGTCTTGGGCCTGATTACAATACCCCCTAAACTGGGCTTTGAAGTAACCAGGGAGAAAAAAGTATAGACTTGTATTTTATAATGGTTTCTTTAAGGAACAGGTCCCCAAAAAAGTATTAAAGTATGGTACTCCAAAGCCCCCTAAACCCTAAACCCTAAGCCGCTAGGGACGCGGCAACAGACGGCTGGCTGACCTCGCTAGGACCCCCGGTCCCTCCGTGTGTTGTCCGCGCCTCTTTTGGCAGGTCGTCCTCAAGAGGGGTTTAGGGTTTAGGGTGAGTATTGTAAGCCCCACCTGAATCCCACAAATCTAATTGGAAGGACATCATACTGAACAATCCTGAAATTATGTAGGTGTTTAGTAGGGTTGAAGTAAACCGCAGACCCTACACCTTTGATCCAGGGTTTATGGTGTAGCTTTGTAAAGAGCCCAAACACTTCACCCTGCACAATACTCTACGGCCTGAGGAAGCTGGGGATTGTGGAGCCTCAATAGCAGCTTCGGTCGAGACGTTTTTTGGGCTTGTGACGCTTCAGAATCAGGGTTAGCTTGATATCACCACCGTGGCTCAGGACATGAGGCCTCTCAAAACGGTGCAGGTGTTTAGGGCCCCTAAACCCTAAACCCTAAACCCAAAAACCGTAAACCCTAAAAGCCCTAAATTTAGGGTTCCAGGGCTAAGTCTTGGTTTAGGGGCTCAGGAGGGCTTCAGGTGTGAACCTTCAAACCGGCGGGCCCTTAAATCATGAGTTCCCTCAACCGTAAAGGGTTTAGGGTTTAGGGTTTAGGGTTTAGGGTTTAGGGTTTAGGGTTTAGGGTTTAGGAACCCTAAACTCTAAACCCTATCAGACCTCTAGCCCTCACACCTTTGGAGCTTAGGATTTCTCGGCCTGTCTCCGAAAGTACCGGGCACACCCTCAATCCTAAACCCCAACCTCGGGATACGGTTTTATAGGTTCTACCCTCTAACTAAGGGGTCATAACCTACTATTTTGTAGGCTTTGGGGTCACAGGAAACCAACCCCCAAACCCTAAACCCCTAAACCCTAAACCCCAAACCGTCCTTGCAAAGGATGACGTCTGTCCGAGGTTGCGCGAAGCCCTTCCGCCGCACAACGTCGTTGAGCAGGCTCCTGAGTTGAGGGTTTAAGCTCCAACTCGAATTTTGGCTTCTTCAAGGCTCTCAGAGGGATTTAGTTAAAGGTTTTCTGTTAAGGACCCTATGGGGTTTAGGGTCTTCAGAAAAAGAAAGAGTTGTGTAAAGGCTCTTATCGAGCTTTGCTTTTGCAGGGCGCTTTATGAGGCTCCATCGGGGGCTTCGTTGAAAGGGTCTAGTATAGGGTCCTGAATAATTAGAATAACGTTTGGGGGCCCATCATACTATGATTATAATAAGGAACCCCAAATAGTATTGGTAATTGTTTAGGCCCCTAAATTAGGTTCTGCCTGTAAGCTTGTCATGCTGGCTTGATCAGTGGTTTACACAGATCTGTTGGAGGCCTTTTGGGTTCTAACGTTTGCTTACACGATCAGAGAACATAGTTACAGCTGCACTTAGTAAAGTAGTGGTCTTCATAGTTAGAGTAGGGTTTTGGGGTCCGTTGTAGTATGATTATACTAAGGGGCCCTCAAAAGAATATAGGTAATTTTTCAGGCCTCTACATTACCCGTGGTATTATAGCCCTACACTTCAACTAATTACTTCTGACCCGACTTACCCGGTCCTCTGGTCCTTGAAATATTCTGAGTCAGTGAACCCTCCCCCTCAGATCCGAAACCCCTATACCCCTACACCCCGGAAACCCCTAAACCCCAAACCCCCGTTGCAAACCCGAAATCCTACACCCCTTGACACTCAACCCAAATCCCTAAACCCCAAACCCCTTGACCCTAAACCCCAAACCCCAAACCCTTCACCCTTGCCCACAAAGTTCAAACATCCCATACCCTCAATCCGAAACCTCAAGACCACCCTTCCTAAAGACAAGCATCACACAAAATTCGTCATCCAAAGGGTTTAGGGCTTGAGGGCTTTAGGTGTTTAAGGGGTGTAGGGTTTAGGGGTTTACGAGTTTGGGGTTTAGAGGTTCAGAGTTTGAGGGCTTAAGGGGTTTCGGGGTTTCTAATTTTCATACGTCACATGCTTTGCCGTGAGCTGAACCTTCAGAGAACAGATACCTAGCACTTTGAGCAGTGCCATTTTGGGTGTATACTATACTGGGTTTCGGGTAGCCAGCAAGGTTTTCAGGCTTACGATTTAGAGCCATCTAAAGGTAATGAAGGGCATCTAACAATTCTGCAGGTTGGTCTAAGCGGGCTTTATGCTTCAGGCTTTCAGAATGCAAATTCAGAAGTCTGCTAGCGGTGCACAAAGTACCCGTTTCTCCGGCCAAAGCCCGGAACCCAAAGCCACGCCACAAACACAAATCGCACTAAACCCTAAACCCTAAACCAAGTGTCCGGGGGTTTAGCCCCACCCAGGTCTCAGCAGAAAAGCTCTCTGGAAACTTCGGATGCCCACAGACCAGCATGCCGCGACTGTGGTTCCTCAGTGGATTCGTGGTGAAACCAAAACAATGTCGGGGCCTTAGAAATTAGAATAGGGTTTTGGGGCCCATTGTACTATACTTGTAATAATAAGGAACCCCCCAAATAGTATAAGAAACTATTCAAGCCTCTATATTACCCACTAGAGGCTTCCTTCCTACGGCCAGTGAAGGTCCCTAAACCCAACCCAATGACCCTCCACCCGCTCAGGGCTTTATGGATTGGGTTTAAACCGCCCTCAGAACATTGATGCTGCCTGGGGTTTCGGATTTCTGCCTCTGCTTGAATTTTGAATGGCTAGGGTTTAGGGTTTAGGGTTTAGGGTTTAGGGTTTAGGGTTTAGGGCACCATCAACTCCAGCAACCTTTCCAAACCTCCAAACCTATCTCTGCTCCCGTAGACGGTAGAGTCTTATCGCGATCCCCGGAAGAAGATGCACCACCCATCAAAGCGACCCCAAGGCTTTCCCGACGAAGCAGTTTAGGGCTTGGAGGTGTGGGATCCCAACTAAACTTACCCTAAACCCCTAAACCCCTAAACCCTAAACCCCTAACGGTAAACGATCGCTGGGGTTCAGCGCCGGCACAGGCTCCCGCAAGAACCCTGATCGCTCTGCCTGCAAGGCATCTCCAGAATGTAGGGGCCTTACTAATTCGAATAACGGTTTTGGGGTATACTATACTATAGTTCTAATAAGGAGCCCCCCAAAATAGTATAGGTAATTAAATATTTGGGCCCCTATATGTAGGGTTTTGGGGCCGAGGGTTTTTGGGGAGCATGTTTTCCTCGCCTTGGCAGGTTGGGTTCGAAGTTCAGTTTCTGAAAACCCCCTTCAACGCTAAATCCTAAACCCTTCAACCCTAAATCCTAAACCCTTCAACCCTAGATCCTAAACCATCCTAAACCCCTAAACCTGCGATGGGCCACCCGCCAGGCATAGCCGAACACCTGAACCTCGTCCCTCCCCGCAGCTTGGGATTCAGGGTTTTGGGGGTTCCTTGACGTTTGGGGTTCAGGGGTTTAGGGAGTTTAGGGTTGGGGGCCTTAAGGTTTCAGGTCTGCTTAGGGATTTAGGGAGCTTAGAGAGATAAGGGTTTAGGGTTTAAGGTCTACCAGCGAGGGGTGAAAATCATCAATGCTTGCGATAGCGTGAGTGTTCGTTCATATATAAACATACATGTAGCACCATTGTAACTGAGGTGGTGTCTGCGTGTAACTCGTTTGTTGATGGTCTTTGTCAGTCCTTCTCTGATGGCTGTACTTAAGCCCCCTTAAACCCATAACAAAACAGATATGTTTGACATAATTCCTACCAGCCCTAAACATACTCTCCATACTCGCAAGGCCTGGATGGTGGAAGGCTGTGTTGCTTCGATTACTATAAGGCCTTGATAGTTTCAATAGGGTTTCGGGGTATTCTATATTCTAATTGTACTAAGGAACCCTTAAAATACTGTGGGTAATTATGATTGGGAGCTAGGAGTAGGGGGACCCTTGGGGATATAGACCCTCTCAATAAGGTCCCTTGTAAGAGAGCCAAAAGTAGGGTTCAGAAGGGGTACCCTTTAGGGGGTACGGGTTTAGGGTTTAGGGGTTTAGGGGTTTAGGGGTTTTGGGGTTTAGGGTTTAGGGTGCCTTTCATGGAAAACCCCAACCGACGGCTCGTCGGACCACATCTTGACCCAAGGACTCGTAAACTCCATGGATCAGGAGGCCTGAAGCCATCATGAACTACGGATCCCCCCTTAGAAGTTTGTAAGGTGTATTCCTCAATTGGGGGGCTGTTCAGTCTCCGCGTGGCTTCGTTTCACGGCTTCCTGCTCAGCTGTTAAACAGCAAGTCGTGTTCCAGGACAGGGCCTCCCCCAGCAACAAAGCAAGCTCCAAAGTGCTACTTCCACTACGACGACCACGACGACCACCACTACTACTACTACTACTACTACTACTGCCACTTATTCAGACCTCTATATTTTACAAGGTTTGAAGGGCGGGCATTGAGGCTTTGGGGTTTTGGGTCTGGGTTCCGGGGCTCACAGAGTGCTGGCTTGGCAGGGCGGAACCCGAAACCCTATTCCCTAAACCTCTAATGTAGGGGCCTTAATAATTAGAAGAGGGTTGTGGGGCCATGATATACCATAACTATAATAAGGAAACCCACAAAATATTATAGGTAATTATTAAGGCCCCTACAGTATTCCCTGAAGCCCTAAACCAAACCCTGAACCCCAGGCCCGAAACCCTGATGTAATTCATGGCCTTCAGAAACTCGTAGCGAGGTAGGGTGATGTCCACAAGCTCTGCACCAGAAGAGTGAGCGCTGGCGTCCATCCTGGATCTCGTTAAGAAAGCTGATGTACTCAACCATAATTAGTACGAAACCATATGGTTTTCTCTAGGTCCCTATTACGATAGCTTACAAACACGATTTCTTAACAAGGCCCCAGCATCATGAAGGAGTCTCCGAAGACTTCTACGCCGGCTATCGCCGTTGCCCGATCATTCACCTCGGTTTAGGGGGTTGGGGTTTACGGGTTTAGGGTTGAGGGTTTCACTTCTGAAGGTTCACATTTAGCAGTTTAGGTTCTTTTGGACCTCGACTGCTTAACCCATGGATAACCAGGCTGCAAAGTAAACAAAATAAGCAACAACAACTAAATCTTAAACCGCGAACACCACACCCTGTAGATTCAAAGCCCCATGCGCCAGGGAGGTGTTACACAGTTAAGACCCATGAAGCAATGCAGAAGCTTAAGTTAGGGGTTGTAGGATGTAGCCCTGTTCAGGTGAAAGATTCCGATGCCAGCCTCTTACCACCCGTTGGTGCGAATGCTCAGAGTCATGACACCAGCCAGGAAGCCAGCAAGCCGGAAACCTATAAAAAAATATATCGTGCGTATGTGTATACATCCATACCTACCTACCTACCTACCTACCTACCTACCTACCTACCTGCCTACCTACCTACCTACCCACCCACCCACCCACCCACCTACCTACCTACCTACCTACCTATACCTACCTGCCTGCCTACCTACCTACCTACCTACCTACCTACCTACCTACCTACCTACCAACCTACCTACGTACATACGTACGTACGTACGTACGTACATACGTACATAACTACGTACGCATGTACGTACGTACATACATGCACACACACACACATGCACACACACACACACACACTCTCTTCTCCTATGTATAGATACACCAAATATGACGATGACTACTTTAGCATTTATGATGAATACTACTGTTGTTGTTGTTGCTAATATTAACTTCTATTTATTTCGTCTTTCATTCGTATTGCCATCATGGTCACGATCGTAATCGTCATCAACATCATCATCATCATCATCATCATCGTGGAGACGGAGTGAGAGGGCAGAGGCACAGAGCGAGAGAGAGAGAGAGAGTGAGAGAGAGACGGAGAGCAAGAAAGAAAGAGAGAGAGAGAGAGAGAGAGAGCGAGCGAGAGCGCGAAAAAGACAGAGATGAGAGTGAACAAGAGAATCAAAACCGTAACATATTAACACCTAAACTCTTCAACGCTAATCGTCGGGACCCAAAGCCAAGACACG